CCCCAGCTTGCGTGTACCCCCCCCAGGCACTGGAAGGTGCTGTAAGGTCTCCCCGGATCCTGCCCTTCTCCAGGCTGAACAAGCATCAACTTCACACGATCGTCCCGCAGCGAGGGCTACTCGACCCCCAGCCCCCCAGTTTAAACTGCAGCTGACCTCCCCGCTAATGACGGATCGACAAAGCCATCTGCCCCCGGGGCTGGCCAGCCAGCTGCACCCCCTGCCCCCCCCGAGGTGATGCTGGCTTCAATTACCGCAGCTCCCAGGGCGCCGGGGACACGCGGAACAGCAAACCCCATCTGCCGGGTCTCCAGAGCGACGTCTGCCTCGCCAGGACAACGTAAACCACGTCACCTCGAACGCAACGGCCGGAGGTCCCCACCCAACCCCGTCCCCTCGCGGTCTTCAAGACGGGGCAGACCTTGCGGCACACCCCGGGGGCAAGAGCAGACCCAGATCAGGGCGACGAGTTCCCAAACGGTTCTGTGAGCGCAAATCACAGCGGATACAGGACAGAACCCGCATCTCCAAGAGAAGAATCATAGAATGGTTTGGGTTAGAAGGGACCTTAAAGATCATCCAGTTCCAACCCCCCTGCCATGGGCAGGGACACCTTCCACTAGACCAGGTTGCTCCCAGCCTCATCCAGCCTGGCCTTGGACACTTCCAGGGTCTGGGCAAGAAGCTATCAGCTTTGTTGCTGCTACGAGCGTATTCTCACACTGGAAGGTTAAGAAGTGTTTATACTTAATATACTTAATCCCACACACCCAGCCACAGCTTTGAATCGTTTTGCCTCAGTATTTCTTACAAACCGGTGTCCGTTAGGACAGAAGGAAGCAGCCCACGCTACACGAGAGGCACCTTCCCACTTAGACGAGAGGCGCCGTTAGATTTGGCAAGCGATGAGCACGCAGTTCGATACCTGCACTGCTTCGGAGACGGAACCAAAGAACTGATGGTTGTGTGCCCAGCAAGACAATTTCAGGATATTCGTGAAGGAAAGCTGATGGCACAAGTTCTGCCCATGACGTACCGCACCGGCACAGGTCAGAATCAAAGGAACAAGTCTCAGCCTTGCAAACACGCACCACGCACACCGGTGATTTTAGCCAGGCAGCGCTAATTCTTTGAGCAGCAAAAGGCTGTTTTTTTGATTCCATAGTGAATCAGAGAGAGGTGACAGATTCATCCAAGGGTAATGCATCCACACCGAAAAGGAAGTTTTCATTAGCTGCCTCTTGTGGGAAGCAACCCTCTCATGTCACATGGGATGGAGGCTGCAGTGCAATTTCAAAAGCCTCTTGTGTCCCTTTTCCTGAGCGGGTTCCAGTCCCTTCATAAAGGATTAGATTATAATTTTAATAGCCTGTTCACAAGGCTGTGAGGATTGAAAGGCTTTATCTTGTCACGTCAACGGTCATCTTCCTGTCAGCTGCCCTGCCTACAGCAAGAAAGAAAAGAAAGAAAAAAGCAGAAAAGCAACCCCCAAACCCTGGGGCGGGGGGTCCTCAGCGCCGCAGCCCGCGTGGTTTTTTTGAGCAAGGATGTAGCTTGGCTCTTCTCCTGGGGGAGAAAACGCCGTAGCGTGGCCCTTCCCCGTGCACCGCGGCATCACGGGAGAAGGGAGGTGGCCAAGGGAAAAACGCAAAGGATCCAGGGGATGCGTTTGCCCTTATCATCTGCCAACGCTGCAGACAAACGCTGTTCTTAACAGCGGCTGCATTTCCGAGTGGCAGAACAGGACCGAGCTCTGCCCCAGATGTGGCAGCTGGATGCTCTGCGCAGGAACCATCCCTAGTCCCGCAGCCAAAAAATTAAAAATCATGCTCATCCCTGGCCAGTCTGAGAGCCGGCCCTTGTGATCCCCAACCTGGGAAGGGATCTTGGGATGGAGGAGGCTCTTCCTTTCAGCCCTCTCCCACTGAATCCAGGGAATGCGGTGAGCTCGGAGCCAATCACAGCGGAAAGGATGGCTCGGTCCGTGGATGGATTAACTAAAGAGCTGGGCTGGGTTGCCACGCGAGGCACCTTCTTACGGCAGGGAGGCTCCTTTCAACAATGCTGGTACGGAGGAGCCGCATCCCGCATCCAGGCACACGGCAAGAGCCACTGGAGAGACAAACAGCCCGTTGGGAACAAGAAAACACAGCAGCGAAGGAGAGAAAAGCCTCCCGAGTCAGCGACAACCCCCCCTCTCCCAAATAAAACCTCTGCCCAGAGCAAGAGTGCCACCACCAAAGCTTCTGAAATCTCTGCTCTTCTCTACTGCGCTTCTCGTTATCTTTAATTATTAGGTGTCACAGGAAAACGGCTGCCTGCCTCCCGCAGGAGGGAAAACGAGAGACCTGGTAACTATTTCTGGGCTGTGCAACCCCTCCCCTGTCTTCAGAAAGCGCCTTCACCACCGCTGCCTCCCCCTTTCTGGCTTGTTACTGCTCTCTTTTTCCACGTACGTGTGGCCGCAGCCGGTACCAATAAACTTGAAACGATTTTTCACCATGGAGGTTTCCAAAGGGCTAAGGGGGTTTTTGTTTCAAATCATTCCCAGACCAGCTGCGGAGAGCCTGAGCAAGAACAGGCATCGGGCTGTCTCCGGCGTGTTCCTCCATGCAGCAGGAAGCAGGGGATAAAAGCAGGCTGTGTTGGAACGGGAACAGGGCATCCGCAGCGCTGCAGGAAAAGGGGGGCCGGGACGGGGCCGAGGCACACGCTGGCGTTATTTTAGCAACGGGCGTTCCGTATGGGTGGCTTTCTGCGAACGAACCGTACGCTTACGACGAAGGCATTTTATAGCACGTTTTGTAAAGAAAAAGCACCAAACCAACCAACGCCCTGAGCTTAGGGGCGCTCCCCCCCCCAAACTCCCAACGGCACCCGCCGCGCGCTTCCCGCGTTTCCTCAACGCGTTGGGCGTCGTGCACCCCCTTCGCTCCGCGTCTCCTGCTGACGACGCTGGCAGGAGGGGTAATCGCAAACACCTTAGAATGATCAGTCTTCTGCTTTGAACTTTAATAACGGGCTTTTGGAGCGTTTTAAGAGTTTACTGAAAACATCTTGAACTTTAAAGCCAAAAAAGCTGCTGTACAATATTACTGATAGTCCAAAGATGAGTATTAAATTAAAAATAATAGGTCTGAGAGCAGAACCTCGTTTACCAAAACGGAACGCCTTAGTCAAATGGCGTCACAGGATTGGTACAAACCGGCTAAAATGCACACATCGGCCTCAGGTTTGCTACAGATATTTAAAAGAATTTGGGGAAAACAGCCCCCGAGCCTGCTGTTTGCAGAGCCAGTTCTCACCCCGCGTTGTCTCGGGCAATATTGCATCAGCCCCTGGCGCAGCCAGCAACGTCTGGGCGAGCTCAGCCAAAGCAGCGCGGGCGGCACAACGGGCACACGGGGACTTCTGGCCAAGCAGCTCATTGACAAGGGATCCCGGCCCGTGTTCGGATCCGGCGGGGGGGCGGGGGCACCGATTAGCTCTAGGAGAAACGCAGCGGTCAAGCGATTCGTGCCTGCTACCCTGGGCGCTGCTGACCACAGCCCGACTGCAGCGCGGCTCCGAGATTGCGCCAATGCTTCAAAAATCAGACCCAAGTCCGGCTACAGCACAGGGACGAGATTTTAACGAACCTCTTATTATGGGGAATTTTGAAGCAATCTGCTTTACTCCCTCGAGATCATTTGAGACAAAGACTAGCAGATGCTGCAGTTCCTAGAGGACTGTCTTTAATTTGTTTTTAACCCAAGCTAAAGAATAGGTTTGCTTATACTTTCGCAAGAATAATTTCAGACTCAGAAAACATTTGGTTAAGAACAAAGGTTCCCTAAAGAAACCTGAATTTTGCCTTAAATAACGGGGATTTAAGCCCAAAGCAGATCCTTCACAAAGGTGTGGAATCATCCAGCTCTGACAGGAAGCTGATGTCTGCACCCGCGAAATTCAAATGGACACGACCAGGGTGCTGTGACCCCCATGCTCTGCTGGGAGGACGGTTCTAGGTTAAGGCTGTACGTGAATACATCCGAAATCAGAACAAAACCATCCTGTCACCCTCTAGAAGCCAGGCTTTGTTCCCTTCCCACTGCGCAGCAGAGCCTAATCCAGGGAGAGGAGCAGCAGCTCCTGAGCGACGGGCTGCAAAGGTCACAGGTGATGAGAAGATCCAGCCTTGTCTCTGCACGTGCACGCACGCAGAGCACGGCTGCAAACCTGGGCAAGCCCGCAACAGGAACCCCCTTCCTGCACGCAGAGCGCCGGGGGGATGAGAAGGGCACAAGAAGGTGCCAACGCAGCCGCCAGCAGAGCTGGGATGGGGTGATCCCTTGGGCAGACAGTTCCCTGACAAAGCACAAGACACTCCTGATACATGGCCTGTGGCTCTTTCTTATCCAAGATTCAACCTCGCTCCCCCTCTTCACACCTACCACGTTAACTCTTGCTTACAGACCACCCAGAGGGGCTGGGTTAGCGTCACCAAGCCCCTCAGGCAGGGGGACAACGCACGCAGGTATCAGTCGTTTCACTCCGGGAAGCCAACAGCCCAGTTTCACATTAGCCTTTGCACCACGGCAAGGAGTCGCCCAACTTTGACCTCCCAGCCCACCAGCGCTCCGACATCAAAAATAGGGAAAAAAACCCCAAAGAGCAGGCAGTGCCAGCTCACTGCTGACGGTGGGAAATTTTCCTTTGCCACAACACTGGTTAATGAGTGAGCTGGAGAGGGCCCGGTGACAGTGCCCTCTTTGTGCTGCCTGCTTATTTATTTATTTTAAACGACAGTACGAGCTTTTTGAGAGGCCTCATGTTTTCTCTGGCTCCCAACAAATGCCAACACCCAGCACAATCGGCAGCCCGACGGGAACAAAGGACACCAGCGCTGCGAATCCTGAATCGCATCCTGGTGGAAAACGGGGAGGAATGGGACAGGAGTCCAGGGAGTGCATAACCAGGTGTCAGAAACACGACAGGGGTGCCTAGAAGGTGTCTGTGTTCAGTTTGACACCTCCCATTGACAGGATAACCCAGGGAATAAAGGCAGGCAAGCAGAGGACTAGGATGTTTACGCTGGTTGGGACACTGCTGGGAGATTCCCAAGAGCCAGCAGGTAGGAGGGAGAGATAAGAGCAGCTTTTCCTTGGTAGCTGTCTGGCAAGCTGCAGCACCCGAGACAAAGAAGTGTTGGGCCAAGCAAAGCTCAGATGAGCCCTGGGAAGGCAGATCCACATTCGCTATCCGCTTTGCTGACATCAGGAAATCCAGCTCCGGCTCCTACCAACACTCCTTCCAGATTTCCGGTATTGAAGACCTCTGTTTACAGGGATGCTGCACTAAGTTTTCCCATGTTTGTCACCGCTACAAGCTGTAGTAAGTTACTACAGCTTCCCTTATAGCTCAGTCCATGCTTCAGTTCTCCCTCTGCTGCTGCTGACAACAGCTGAGAGACCAGACCCAACTGTAATTCTGGGCTGTGGTCTTGCAGCTGTTCTCTCAGTGGACCCATCTCTGTGACGGGACTCATGGAACCAGGAGTCGGATGATCCGGGCACCAAAAAAGACACAACTCCCCTCGCCTCGAGATGCAAAGCCCTACCAAAACAGCATCTCATCTGCAAAACTAGGAACGAGTCCCAGTAATCCCAACGCCAGCTACCACGCCTGGTGCCAGCACACGCTCCCCACCAGCTCCTCCCAGAAGACCCGCTCCCCAGCACAGCGCTCGGAGCGCTTCCAGCCAAAGCCCTTGTCTAACAGGAGCTGTTTTTCCCCAAAGCAACACCAGCTCCTTCCAAGTTGCGGTCAGATGCGACTCTGTGCTGATGTAGGCTTCCAGCGTGTTTGTTAGCTGCCCTGGGAGAGGAAAAGAAGTTGTGCGGTCTAAAAAAAGCCGTTTTCCTCTGGAGGAAGGCGTGTATTTCAACGCGCTGGCATCAAGCGGTAATTGAAATCAGGGTGCGAATCATTCCCAAAAGCCCTTCGTTACTTACTGTGGGGTCTGTCCAGAGAGAGCACTTTGCACAGGCCTGGCAGGGAGCCCCGGGCGACCGGGGGTGTTGGCAGAAGTGGTCGTAGCCGTTGATGGCAGCCCGGCAGAGGTAGCACATCTGAGCGCCGCAGCGGCAGGACATGCGGTTGCAACCCTCCGATTTAATTAGGCCAGTCCCACACTTGTGGCATTTTCTAATTCGGGCAGCTGTCATTTTCTCTTCTCTGCAACGCCAGAGGAGGGAAAAGAATTAGAGACGGGACGTTTGCAGTCACCAGGCCTGCGGTAAAATTACTATTAGACTATCCCAGCAATGCTTTAACGCCCCTTTCCCAGTGCACCTCTTCCCCTCCAACGCCATCCCCACGGGCCACCGCTGTTCCAAGGAGGTCTGGGCTCAGCTCCACTTGGACCTAACCCACGACAACTCCAGAACAAATTAAGTGAAAGAAAGTCAATCACCGGCTGCGTGCTGCAGACCCCATCCTGGTTTCCATGTGAGCCAAAATGCCGCAGCGCCAGGCTCTGGCTTGGAAGGAATTTAAGCTGTAAGTCGAAGGGCCAAAGGGCACGCGGATGCTTGACTTGGCTGCGGAGAAACACAGCCCTGGAGATAAAGTTCAGGAAAAGCAAACCCTTGGCTGTCATCTGCTAGCTAGTTTTATGTTTGCCCGTTGCTCCGGCTACAAAGTCGCCACGACCATATATATTTTTTTATTTCCAGCTGCTACGCTCCAAATTTATTTGGTTTTTGTTAAATTTAAATCAGTAAGTGAAAAACAATCACATCTATCCCTACAGAGACTGGGCTTTCCCCCTTAAGATTCCCTACGTACATTTTTCCAGACGTTATTGCTGTAGGTTCAAGTGGTGGGTTTTATTCTAGCGGAGCACAAATGGGAATCCAGGACAAAGCACGGTCCCCGGAGACATCCCAGCAGCGACGCGCTGCAGCGCAAAGGCTCAGCTCGCGGCAATACTATTTTGGCACAGAAATGGAGGAAAGCCTGGGTCGGTTAATTAAAAGACTTAAGAATATAAGTTGTCATGCTAAGGGCCAATTTTCTGACCGCCGGAGATCACGTTACAATTTAATTCACAACCCAGAAGTGAAATCTGATGACAGAAGCGTAGAGACTGCGTTTCATTGAGGGAAATGCTGGGCTGACGATGGGGAACAATCTTCCTCAGCCAGGCATCTCCAGCCCACTGCTTCAGCAGAGCTGCAAAGTCAACCTATGCTTGGGAGGTGTTTTTGCGGAGGATCCCAGCAGCAAACCAGGCGACAGCACAGCCCCACCGACCGCTCCATCGGTACAACGGGGGGAGCAGGGAATGGCGAGGTGGGTAGTGCCCTGCAGCCACCCAAAGCTCCCACGCAGTTATGCCTGCTGCGACCTGCACCCAGGCTTTTGGAGACACGCCAGGAACAGAGAGGGAGAAAAAACAACTCGAGGGTGACTTTCCTCTGAGCTGCAGCTGCTCTTCCCTCTGCTACTCAACAGGATGCTGCTGATGCAGGGTTGTTTTTTTTTTTTTGGAAACCTTGAGCAAGGCAGGAAGTTTGGCCTGAGCTCCAGCTGTGCTTCCCTTTCCTTACCAGGGCTTCAAAAGGAAGTTTTCATTGTATGAGGCAGTAAGACTCATCTATCCACAGCAACATTCCTCCTAAAGGTTTTGAAACTGTTTTTTTTCCTTATTAGGGACATGACAACTCGTTCCTCTTTCCTCTCACCCCTCTTTCCTACAGGGAAAGGAGTGGCCGAGGAAAAAGTCCTATCAAGTCTGTAAAGATTTTGTTCTGAATCAGGGACTACGGGATGAGCAAGCAACAGTCATTCAGCCTTCCAGAGACGGCACTTTCCAGCCTCTCCTCATGCCAGGCAGACACTAAATCAGAGCGGAAAGGTTTGGGCAACACGGGCAAATCCCATTTGACTGCACAGACATGCATCTCCCTGGATGAACCTTCCTTTATTTCCTAAAGGGAAAGGATTTTGTTATCTACCGTAGCAACGAGATCAAAAGGGTTTAGGGTAGCACTCAAGATTTACACTGGAGTGTTTAAAAATGTGACTCCGTTCTGTAATGATCCCTACAAACCGGTTAGAAACAGAGATGAGCTTCTGTAAGAAAACACATCCCCTCCCACAAAGCCACCGAGCAGTAGCTGAGCAAACCGCCTGTCGTCACCAGTCTAGGTTTTCAAAGGGCAGTAACGACTGACTGTGACTCAGCGCGCTGCTTTGCCTCCCTTCTCCCCCCCTGAAGCAACACTAACGGGGATTTCTCACCTCTGAGAAGCCCCAGGTGTCAGCCTGCGAGACACTGGGCTAGCCAGAGGAACAGGCTGGTCTGCTGACAACTCTCCCACGTTCTGGAATTACCCACTGGATCCTCTGCCAAGTATCTTTCACAGAAAGAAATCCCATCCCGGGTGCCTTCTGACCCCTCAGCTCTGACATCCCTAGGACCTCCCTGATGGAAGGTAGTGACGCCCAGCAGGACTTGGGGGTCTCTCCCAGTCACAGGGTTTCCAAGTCCCAAGAACATGGGGGTTTCTCACCCCTCCACCCCAGCACGCATCACCCAGCGCATTGCTGGTAAGAGTTCATCCATTCACCCCCACGTTTGTGTCTGGTTGTGGAGTTTACTCACATGGACGTCCTGTATTTGATGTCATCCTTCTCAGCCAGCTGCTCGCAGGTGAGGTTCATGTGCTCCTTCCACAGCCCCTGGCACTTCCGACAGGTTTCCTGAGGAGGATAAGTAGTATTAAAGAAAGAGAAAATCCAGCACACCGCTAACAGCATTAGGAATTGCAAAAATTCCCGTTTTTTCCCCCACCACGCTGCAGGTTGTCAGCTGAGGATGGGGTTGGCAGTGTGGAATAGCGGTCTGCAGGTCTGTCCTCCACCAACAGTGAGTGTCCAAAACAGGAGCCAAAGGGTTGCCAAAGTACAAGAACACAGGTAAGAATCCAGTCCCTAAATCCTAGTTCACCTAAAACTCATGAACAGCTACCAGGCTCACTAGTTACTTCCCCGAGGAGACTACAGAGTTGAAAACATGGTGCTAAAGGGTATCAAGATCATCCTTTTCCTGAGCAAAACCCTTCACCTCTGTACCAAGGGCTTCAAGGTCAGCAGGCGATGGAGACGTCGCAGCTGCATTGAGCACTCTGCCTCGCTGTGCGCACAAGCAAACCCGTATGACGCTTTGTAAAACCTCACAAAATAAGGTTCAGCTGTTCACTCCCATAAACTGCTTTAAAAAAGGCAGGATGTGGACAAATGTCCATAAACCAGAGGTGGAATACCAACAAATATTTATGAATTTAACCAGAATAGCTGAACTAAACTTAGAGCAAGTGACTGAATTCTCCTGTTCTTGCAAACCTTTTAGCAAAAGAGGCTCTAAATCGGGGACTGGTAAAGCTGCGTGGAGCAGGAGAGCTGTGGAGGCACATTGGCAAGGGAACTTGGACTAACGCTGGAGAGAGAGATGATTTTTTCGGTTGGCTGGCCAAAGAAAACATAATTTTGTTTTGGGTCAAACAAGAGATTTTTTTTTTTTCCCCCTTTAATTTCAGGAAGGTTAAAAAAACATGCAAATCAAACTTGGAAAAAGTACATGTTTCACAATCCAACTGTTTCATCTTCAGGATGGCTGGGGCTTAAGCTTTTAAATCCAACTTTCTCCCCCTGGCAGGAAAACCCATATGGCTGTGAAGCATCCTCTTCCCCTCCCCGCCAAAGAAGGTCCCAGAAGAGCTTTGCCCAGCTCCGGTCGCACTATTAACGAAAAACGACGACTGCAGGGACAGATCTTTTCTGCTTGCATTACCTTCATTATATTTAAATGAGGAAACTGGGCTTTTATGAGAGATACGATAGAAGTAACTGCGTGAAGACACA